GGCACGCCCAGCGCGCAGGCGAACCGCGCGCTGGCCGCCAGCTCGGCGCCCCGCTGGCGCCGCTCGCCGGCAACCGCGGCCCGCAGCACCTGCAGCAGCGCCCCCATGACGCGCACCAGCTCCTTGCCCTGGTGCCGCGAGAGCGCCTCGTCATCCAACCACTGCACCTGCGCCGCCGCCAGCCCAAACGTGCCGGGCAGCGTGCGCTCTGTGCCCGGCACGCAGCGGAAGCGGCGGCCCGCGGCCATGCGCAGGAGCACGTTGCTGCCGGGGGAGGCGCCGACGACGACGCCGCGCGGGGTGGCGCTGCAGCCGTAGCCCTCGGAGCCTGCCAGCCCGAACATCACAGCGGCCGCGGGGGCGGCGGCGGCGGCGGCGGCGTCGTGCGATGCGCAGGCGTCGGCTGTGTCTTCGTGCTGCCGCCGCTTCCGAGCCTGCTGCTGCTGCTGCTGCTGCTGCAGCTGCTGCTGCTGCTGCTGCTGCTGCTGCTGCTGCTGCTGCTGCCCGCACCCCTCCTGCTGCCCCTGCCCCTGCCCCTGCGCGTTGGCCTGCTCCAGCGCCGCGCGCACCAGCAGCTTGTAACGGCCCTCGAAAACGTTGACCACCTGCTCCTCCCCGGGCCACAGCCCCGGCCAGAACGCGCCTGCTACCGGGCTGGCCAGCACAAACAGCGGCAGCTCGCCGGCCTTTGGGGGGCGGGAGGAGGCGGCGTGCGCAGCCGCGGCGAGGGCGGGGTGTCGACATGGTGTTGGGAGTGGAAGTGGAGGTGCGAAGTTGTGGGTTCAGGGTATGTGGCGTTTGACATGCGAGGGCGCGGGCCGGCCCGCAAGCGATAGGCGGGGCGGGGCAGGCGCGCCAGATGAGTCGGCAAGGGCCCGCGTTGGTGCAGCTGGATGCGGGTCCTGGGATTTACGCTGATGTTGCCACTAAACACTCGCGCAAATGGGATGGCATCAGCGTTGGCAGGGACCCCAGCGGCGCGATGCGCCGCTGTGCCCCACCCCCTCACCTGCTGCGGCGCCATGCCCCCTTCGCCCTGTAGGCCCGGCGGCGTTGTCTGCACGTGCACCCAGCGGTCCGGGTGGCGCGGGCAGGGCGGGGCAAAGGCGGCGGCCAGCTCCTGGGTTGGGCCCACCTGCTCGCGCAGCGCGTCCTGGCCAAGGGGCGAGGGTTGAGGGCGCGACACGAGATCGGGGTTTAGGGAGGGGGACGCGGCACACGCATAGACAGGAGGGGCGACGTAATCTGAGCCAGGAGCGATGCATACCTCGCGCGTGCTCATCGATCTTCCGACGCAGGCGGCATGAAGGCTTCCAAATCAGCGCCCTGTCGCGCGGCAGCATTGCAGCCTGCGGCCGCCTGCAAACGAACTTTCAGCAAAACACCCTCGACAGCCGCTCACGAACGTCAATTGTACCCGACACAAAGGGCAACCCCACCAGGCCTCAGCACGTTCCCCCATCCACTTTAATGACGTCACCATGATGTCAACCCCGCCGACCCCCTCCCTCTCACCGGCATCACCGTCATCCCCAGCGACCGGCTGCCCAGCCGCTGCGCCCCCAGCACCAGCCGCAGCAGCGCCGCCGCGCTCGGCTCCGCCAGCCTGGGGCCCCCGCGCGGCGGGTCCAGCAGCAGCCCGCAGAGGCCGCTGTCGTAAGTGGCGCTGCGGACCTCCCCGCCCCCGCCGGCGCCGCTCGCGTCCGCGAGGAACAGCAGTGCCCTGCTGCTGTCTGCCGTGGACCTGCTGCTGCTGCTGCTGCTGCTGCTGCTGCTGCCGTTCTGGCTTGGTTCGGCGCCATTTTCCGAGCCGCCGCTGCCGCCGGCGAATCGGTCCTCGTCCGATTCGCCGGCCCCTGCAGCCAACGGCTCAGCGGCGGCCGCCGCCGCCGCGGCCGCCGCCCGGGCCCCTGGGGCGCGCCGCACGACGTGGCTGCGGCCCGCCCGCTGCTGCTTTTGGGGCGCCGCCCGCTGCTGCTGCTGCTGCTGCTGCTGCTGCTGCTGCTCGTCCCTGCCAGCCGGCGCGGTGCTGATGCGTGGGTCCACGGCGCCGGCCACCACGCCAGCCAGGGCGGAGCCCGGAAACAGGCCCTGGGGGTGGGCCGAGGGGCGGCGTCATGGCGAGTGCCAGCACGCAGGTGATGACGCCGGGGCGGGCGGCAAGGCAAGGGGGTGTGAACAGGCGGCGCCACACGCTTCAGGTCATGCGGCAGCTGTCCCGCTCGCGGAGCCTCAAAAAATGCTGCCAAGTGCGCAGGCGCCTGCCGCTCCCGCTCCTGCGCACACGGCGCCGTCCCGCTACGGGCGGGGCCACGAAAAGCTTGGCGCCGGCGCGCCACGCGCAGTGCCGCCGTGCCGCGAGCCACCCGGCCGCACCTCGAACCGCTGCAGCAGCCTCACGACCGACTCCATGTGATCCGTGGAGCCCGGGTGGCCGAGCAGCAGCACCTGCGGGTGCGCCCCCGCCAGGCGGTGGCCGCGGTAGGGCAGCCACGGCAGCGAGTCCTGGTCGCAGCCATGGGTTTGATGTGGGGGAGAGGGGAGGCGGAGTGGCGGTGGGGAAGGGCAGCTGCCGTGGGCATCGGAAAGGGCAGGCGCGGCGCGGCGCGGCGCGGGCGGGCGGGGTCGAATAAACTGCGGGACAAGCGGGCGGCGAGGTTGGGACGGAGGGGCAGCGGCGCCCGGGGCTCAGCGGCCGCCGCGGACGAGCGCGCGCCGGCGGCTTGGCTCACGTGCGTCTGCCAGGGGATCAGGTGGCCGGTGAAGCCGGGCAGCGCCGCGCCCGACAGCGTCACGTGGTGCCGCAGCCGCTTGGGGCCGGGCCCGGGCGGCCCCTGCTGCTGCAGGTCCAGCCCCTGGCGGGGCGCGGCGCCTGCGCCACTGCCGCCGCCGCCTCTGCTCGTGGTGGCCGTTGCGATGGAGGTGCTCGCGTTTGGCAGGGGGCTCTGAGGGCCGACGCCGGGCAACCAGAGTGGCGCAGTGCAGCCTGCGGTGGCGGGTGGCACAGTGGCGCGGGTGGGCCACCCTCCGGCCGCCATCTCAGCACCGCAGCTGCCCGGGCGGCACGCAGGCGCATCGCCGTTGAGGGTCGCCGACAAGCGGGCGGTCGCGCGGGTCAAATGCCTCGCCGCTGCACCATCGCATTGTGCGGGGCCGCCCTCACCGACGAGGGGCGGCCCGTGCCCCGCGCCGTCGCGGCACTCGGACAGCTGGGCCGCCAGGAAAGCGAGCGGCGAGTGCACGCCGTGCGCGAAGGATGTGGTGAGCAGCACAAAGGTCGGCGCGGCGCCGCCCAGCGCCCGCCGCAGGCCGAGCCAGGCGGCCTGCAGGCGGCGCCCGCGTGGCGGGGAGGGAGGGGTGGTGTGGGGCAGTTAAGGGCGAATCAGCCTGTGCCTGTGTTTAGGGGCAACTGGCGATGGTTCTTTGGGGGGGGCCACAACCACGGATTGGCACTTTCTGGGGTGGAAAGGGCGGTGCCGCAGGCGGCAGCAGCCTAGAAGCGGTGTCATGTGGCAGCGCGAGCGAGCAGAAGCCGAGTGGACGCGGTGGCGCGGGTGCTGCGAGCAGCCAAGGCGCCCTGCCGTCACCTGCACAGCTGCTGGGGCTTGCGTGTCACCGGCCACGGGGACGCTGCACACGCCCAGCCGGCCCTCAGAGATGTCTAGCCAAGCTGCAGCAGCGCCGGCCGTTGCGGCCTCGGCCTGCTGGGCACCTGCCGCCGCGCCGCTGGCGAGGGCGCGCTGTTGCAGGAGGCGGACAGCAGCGGCAGCGAGCGCGGGTGCGCCCCATCGCCACGGTGGGGCGCCTGCAGCAGCTACATATCGCAGCAGCGGTGATGATGTCTGCGGTGTGTGCCTCATTGCTTTAATTGCGAGCGCATTCAAAGCAGCAGGGACGATCACAGATCAAACATCACTTTGCTGACACAGCCTCGAGCCCCGAAGCGCATGTAGTAATATGAACGCTCGTATAATAGGAATTCCTTTCGGTTTGTGTCCTGTGCTTGAGCATAAGGTGGTTTTTGCAGCGAAGTGCATTGCCTGTCCTACTTCAAGTCACTGCAGCGATGGTGTACGCCCGCCCATTGACCTGTGACTCGTCCTTCTCGATCGACACATTCGGTCAGACAGGAGCAGCGGCCACCATGCTTCATACGCGCGCGTTCAGCTCGGCGCGGCCTGTGGCTGCGTCTGCTTCTCGGGGCCGCACCGTCGTTGTGCGCGCAGCAGTGGCGGCTGCACCTGTTCAGGTGCCAGTGAAGTCCGCGGACGGCGCTAGTGCTGGCAGCGAGGAGCTCGCCTTGGGCGTCGCCCCGGCGAGCACAGCCAAGGGCCTGGTTCACCGCTACCTGGTGTATGTGCAGCAGAATGCCCGCAGGGTGAGCTTTTGGCATCGATGCGGGGGTCCCATTGGCACCTAGGATTGGCAGGCAGCACAAGCCTGCGGCCAATCGCTGGTGGTGCCACTCGAGGCCACTGTGCGCCTGGACGCGGGCCTGCGCGCGCAAATAGGGGTCAGTTTTGCGAAACTGTATCCGTGGGCTGCTGGCCGCCGTGAATCTAGGCTGACCCGGCGCGCCGCGGCGGCGGCGCACCGCAGCTGGCGACTGAGGCCACCGGCGCACGAGCGCGCAGCGAGTGGCCCTCAAAACGCGCAGAGACGCAGCAGTAGGCCGCACCAGCTTAGTGAGCTCTGGCGCAAGCGCGGTGATTCTGACGTGCCTGACGGCTTGCCGCCGCTCCTCACGCGCGCCACAGGGCACGGCCAGCACCCTGACCAGGGGTGAGGTCCGCGGCGGCGGCAAGAAGCCCTACAAGCAGAAGGGCACTGGCAATGCCAGGCGCGGCAGCAACGTGTCCCCGCTGTTCCCCGGCGGTGGTATCAGCTTCGGCCCCAAGGTGTGCAGCAGTGGGGAACGGGCGCGCCAAGTGCAAAGCGCCGGTAGCGTGCGTTGGCGGCGGCAGCAGCTTCGTTTGCGCAGGAAACCAGCGCGAATGCAGCGCTGCAACCAGCAGGGGCGTGGCACAGCCGACTGTGTAGTCGCACGCTTCCCAGCGCCCTCGTCACGCCCGTCGGGCTAGACAGCTCCAAGGGTGTCACCCACTGGCCCACACCAACAACCCCTCACGCACCTGCCCCGCCCCGCCCTTGCCGCCTCCTGCGTCCACCCCGCAGCCCAAGGACTGGAGCATCAAGATGAACAAGAAGGAGCGCCGCCTCGCGCTGGCGACCGCGCTGCAGAGCGCGGCCCCCGACGCCCTGGTCGTGGACTCCATCAGCAGCGACGGCAAGGTGCGGGACGGACGCGCGCCCGCCGGGGCGGCGGCGGGTGCCGGCTCGGGCGGCCGCC